ATTCCTAGAACTGGAATTCCTGGATACAAGAGTCGCACATTTTAAACTTGGATTGTATTAACATTAGTACCCTCCAAAAAAAGTACTTATTTAAACTCTTGCACACACACCTATGCATTCATGCTGAGCAGACACATAAGAGAAATTTTGACAACACGCACCAATACCACACTAATACCAATTTGTATGTAGGAGATAGAATTGCAAGTAATGTTATTTTTAATAATTAAAAAAAGACTGGCTTATTATTTACATATTTTTTTCACCTCCTTGCTTAGCATTTATATATTCTCTATGCATTTGCTAACTATCCACTGCTTGCAAAGCACGAGACTAGGGGCTTTGGGGAAAAAAGCACATGGCAATAAAAGTTTGGGTCAGATTTGGCCAGGGTAATCATTACAAAGCCATGCGTAATACACAATCACACTGCAATATAAACACAAGTTTAGGAGTGCCGTATATGGCCAGGCATAATAAAAGTCCTTAGGTACCAAGGTGAAATATCTGTGAACCCTTCTCACTGGGAATTTTCTGGTAGAAAGAGTAGAATTTTCTGGTAGAAGAGTAAAAATTCTTGGATATAGCATCTATCATAAACGAAATCTTAGTGCGTAAAATAAAAAAGAAATCTGAATTAACTAAATTGCATAAAGCCAAACAGCTAATACTAGAAATAGATTTTAAATACATGTTTACAAATACATACAATTAAAATGACTGTATGCCTTCTCTACTTCGTATATGTGGCCAGTCAGCATATTTTTTCTTAAAAGCTGCCTATTTCTTGAAGTTAGATTCAAGTCATATGGCAAGTGTTGGAAGCTCTAGGTTTACATGTCAGGAGCTAGGGCACCAGGCTATCCTGGCACACTGTTAGGCCAACTGCTGGACTGCTGCTTGGCATAACTACAAACCTCCCCTGCTGGCAGCTCGTGTTCCAAGCTCCTGGCTGGGCCCTGCCATTCTCCCTGCATCGATTTGAGAAGGCGAGCAGGCAGGCAGGCACAACTGGGTATGGTTGAGCAATGAGAGGCTGCTGTGACCACAGCTGGTATCCGTGGTCTGGCACACAACCCACCCTTTCTCCTTTTTTCTCATTTGGCACTATACCCAGAGTTCGCAGGTACCTAAAATATATTGCATATGGATTCTGTAAACTTTGCTTATTCCCTAACTAAATTTTTTTTTCAATTTAAAATTTAATTATTCCTGTACTCTAGGGAAAACAAGGCATTTTCTCCACCCAAAGACAATAGTATACATTCTCATAGGCACAATTTTAAGACACATCAAAGTGCTTCCAAATGTGGAAAATAGGAACAAGTGCAGAAAAAAGAGAAAAGACTTACTATAAACAGCAGTAAACTATCTTATTATTCTAGAGAGGCATTTCTAAGTCAGGCAAAGGGGACTTGCAGTCTGTGTTTATGGAACAACGCAAACACAAACACATAAACACACACACTCTCTCTACTCTCTTTTTATTTGTTGGGAATATTACTCCCAAAGCAAACAGCCATTTTTTAATTCAGATGAAGAGAAACCACAATGTGCACAAAATAAACAGATTCTGCTCTTTTGCTCCTTTAAGAGTTGTTTCCCTCTAATTTTTCTCTTCCTTTTAGGCCTATCTAGAATCCCATTCAAGGGGACCAATGACCTAGTTCTGCTCAGTTCCAATGCAACACAGGAGCAAATTCCAAATATCTCTGTTGGTCTCCCTGGGACTGCAGAACCCCAAAGTCCTTCTCCTCCTCCAGAGGTAATCCTGTGATCAGCTCTAACACCACAGGCCAGTCCTTTTATCAGCTTGTTGGAGAAGCATCTTTGCCTCCTGCCAAGCAGTGACCTAAAAAGTTTAATCACTTTATGTTTTCAAGGTCAAAGTGGGTACAGCGTTATCTTTCTTGGGCTAACAGTAAAGGAAAATTGCTTGTTCTAAATCTTAGATGTCTGGCTTTTTTCCATGTCCTGTCCTCTGTCCTACTGGTCCCTCTAGGTATATTAAAGGCTCACATGGGTCTTGTGGTCTTTTCTACATTGTCTCAAAGTGTTATTTCTATAACACTTTGTTTCTGTATTATCAATGTGTTATTCTCAAGATACATGCCCTGTTTGCTCAATTTTTATACTGAATGATGAGCAAAGCAAAACTTTCCAATTTTCCAACCTAACAATGAAACCCTAAGCTATGAATGTATTCAAGTTCCCCAAATTGACGTCCTTTGATCATCAACATAAAGTACACAAATAAAACCCTGATCAGTATAAATACTACATTATTTTTTAAAAAGCTAACTATTTTTAACCTATGACTGTGACATGCATTTGTTTTTAATAATGTCTCAGTTTTATGTAGCCATGTATTCAAGGTCTTTATCATTCAAGGTACATGTAGATCGTGCATTTAATCTTTATGGTTGTAGAAGATACAATTGGCAGAGTAGAGAATAGATAAAAATAAGTATGCAGCAGCAAGGTGCCAAATCATCAGAACTCACCATCTTATCAACAAATGGAAGTCATTCTTCTTTATTTCTTTAGCAAAGCAGTTCCATAGAAGATAAATAGCTTTCAGTCCGAACAGCCTAACGTGCAATATGTATCTTTTTGACATGTATATTCTAATACTCCTTTAGACCACAAGATTAAAATAAGAAAATTCTCAGGGTACTGTGTTGACAAGAAACACGGGTTGAATCTGCATTCTGTCTATTTTTCATCTCCCAGTATCTGGATCTATGTGTATGTTAAACTGAAGTGGATACACTCCTTTGGCCCTGGACCCGTCTCCCTCTGTGGGTCTTTATCGGACACTCAGGCTGTTCCTTTCACATCTTGCCAGGGTAGCTTGGTCCCTTTATTCATAAGCCCGGTTGCCAGGCAGCCCCTGTAGTCTCTCATCTTTCACTTTCTCAGGTGCAAAATGGAACTAAAGCCCTTGAGAAAACTGGTGAAACAGCAGGAAACTTCCTTGCTCTTACGTTTATCGGTGTGCATAGATAGGAGAGTTTTGTAGCAGATTACCTTTGATTAAACTCTGTCTCTGCTTCGTATTTAGCTATTTGACCTCTCTGAAATTCACCTTTGAATTTTGTCCTCATTTGTAAATTGAGCAAAATATCTAGATATGTTCTATTGTGGAAGAAAACCAATTGTTTAGAAGTATTCAAAAAATACTTTTCTTCCTCCCTGTACTTGATGGGCAAATCATCTTGGAAAGTGTTGGCCATGACATTGAACATTATCGACACAAGAAATTGACAGAATCTATTCCTTGGACAAAATTTGCTTAGTGAGGAGCCATGTCTTGAAATGACAAGATGTGAAAGAAACTGCCTCATTTACCTGAAAGATATTGTTACATCACCTGACACTGATCAGCTGTGTTTAGGCTTGTATTGTGGAGTAAATTGGTTATTATACTATGTCCACTTTGCCCTTTGTCTGCCTCTATGACCCCCATCTCCCTCTCTTTCCCATTTCCCAGCCCCCATAACTTCAAAGAAAGGATATAAAAACCTCAACCTAATGATGAGATCCATACTGATGGTGTTAAGTTAGTCTTGCATGTAAAATCTCTTTGGAAAAGGATAACCATCCACACCAACACAAGACAGCACAGAAGAGTAAAGTAAGGAACACTTTCTAAACAATTAATTAATTTCTACTACATAAAAGGTCAGTGCATAGTAAACATGAGCAGTGCCTCAATGTTGTGGGGTGTATGAGAGTACAGGATGGTCCACAAAAGGACAGTGAGAGGGCTGCCTTCCTCCTCACTCTCTGAGATGACACTTGCCGTGTGAGACGCACAGCCCAGCTGCACAGACACTGGCTGCAATCACTGTGTGTGCATTTAGACAAATTACTGTTGTCTCGATTTCTCCTCAGAAAAAGGAGAGCAGTACTATCTGACTCACAGAGCTGTGGAGAGCTCCTAAGAGTATCATAAATGTGAAGTCCTTGGCCCAAAGTTCTGCTCAGAGCACATGTTTTTTAAAAAGAGTTAGTAATTATTAGTAGTTTTTTTTTTTGAAAGAGAGACCTGGATTCGATGATCTACGTTCTTCATCTTTAATATTAGATCCCCGACCCCCCCGCACACACACAGACCTTTTTTCCTCATAAAGTACTTCTTTGCAGATATCCTGAGCTCAAAGTTTGGAAGGCCTGCCCAGATTTAGTGGGAAGGGTAGGCTGAGTGATTAATTATAATAATAAAGGCTATCCTATATTTACACACCCTTAGCATAGCCAGTATTCTGTGAATCTGCATGTATTACTCCATTTTCAGTTTACACTCACAAATACAAAGCACCAGCTCAGATAATAAAAGTGAGTGCTGAATATTTTTGCAAGCTATTATGGCATTCTGAAATAATACTATAAACATGTACGAGATGTGACTATGTGGTAATGAAACGAATTTTCCTGTGTGGCGTGAAGGCTCATTAGCTTAGATCCAGGCTCTGTGTTTTCTACAGAAGCCATGTGTGACATTTCTCACTAATGGCTTATGCTGTTATTAAATATTTGTCTCTAACTCACTCCATCTTTGGGAATGCAGGCATCCACTTGTGTGTAAATTAATAGCTCTGCAGAATCTAAATGCGCTACCCAGAAAAGTCATTTCATTTCCTAAGAGTCCAATAAGGGGGGAAAAGTTCCTCTTTCTAATTATACATTTGACCAGAATTGTTGTTTCTAAATTTATATGAAGGTACTTAGTTTATGGGAAAGAATGTTTTCATGATTCTCAGCAAATAAAACTGGGCCTTTGTTTTTTTTTTTTGTTTGTTTGTTTGTTTTGTTTTGTTTTTGCAGTTTTTTTTTTGGCTAGGGCTGGGTTTGAACCCACCAACTCCCGCCTCTGGGCCTGGCACCCTACTCCTTTGAGCCACAGGCGCTGCCCTGGGCCTTTGTTTTTAACAACTTTACTATTTCCATGAAACTGCGATTATCATCTCGCAACAAGAGTTGGTGTGCACACTTACTTTCTTCATCAAGGAGGTTTTCAGCCGCTGATAGTAACCTCATCCTGTCTTCTGGGTTTTCGATGTTTAATTCAATGAGATGACTTTCTTTTATATCCCTTAAATCTTCTAGAGTCTCGTAACCATTAAGCAGAAGTGTTGAAGTATATTCCTGGGGGAGAGGAAAACACATATATGATGCATATATTAGATTCAAATACTTTCTTTTTAATGCTCTTTAAATTTAAGAAAAATGTAGCAATGTACACGGAAACAAAGGTGCTAATAGAACTTCTGCTTCACTTCACTTCCATTAGCGTCCCACATATAAACTCTAAGGCACTTAAAAGTTTATGTTGTATAATTTCTCACCTTCTAGAAGAACAATTATAAACAAATAATTACCTTAAGTTATACAATTCCAAGTCCTGGATCCATTAAATAGTTGGATCATACATCCCATTTGGTATTTTTAACTTCTTAACTATCTAATTTGACAGAGGTAATGTTTCCTTAAGTCTATAAGTAAATTTCCTCCAGCAAAATAGTATACTATAATAATATTTCTGAATCTACATATCTTCTTGTTTGCTTGATTGCAAAAACATCTACTCTTATTAGCTTTTTGGGACAGGTTAAAAATGTGTTTAAATAGACATTATTCTGCATCAAATGTTGGTTTAGCATTTGGATTAAAAGGTGTTATATAAACCTAAGGAAGTCTAAACTTTTTATTTAATGAAAAGGATTTATTAAGCTTAAAAGAAGTGTGGCTGGGGAGAGTATTGTGTCCTTTTCACTATGTATGTTTTGTCCATCATTCTCATCAAAATACCTATGTATTAGTTTAAAATTCATAAGCTTCTGACCTCAAAGTCCATATGTTATTTATGTAACCTCTGTTCATTCTAACAGAATCAAAATGCAAAGTGAAATTGAATGCTTTTACAGCTTACTCAAAAATCCCTCCATTTTACTTGAGCATAATTTCAATATCCTTATTTTACTTACTAAAACAGAATAAGAGGAAGTTTAAAAGTTCGAAGTAATCAGGAAGAACTTATTACCAGTCCTTTTTACAAACAACGACCATAAAAAAAAAAAAAAAAAAAAAAAGGGAAAGGAAGAGGCATGACAATTCTTTTTTTAAAAGCATATTTTAAGTGAACACTAAATTAGAATAGAGAAAGCAAAAATTCCCATTCTGACACAATCATCTAACTGTGCGTTCTTGGGCAAGTCATCTCACGGGTCACACAACGAACAAACAGCAGAGGCAAGAGTCCAAGCTGAATTTCCTCCAAAGAGCGTCCCATTTGGGCTGCCCCAGTAGTAACAGAGGAGGGCTTAGTATTTCTACGGACAGAAACACAACTAGATAATTCCCACATAAGGAATGTTTAATGGCTATTTGCTTAATGAACTTGGAAAACTACCAAAGTACCAGCTGAATTTATTTTAGAAATAGATCGCAAAACTATAAATTGATTGAGACTAAATATTTTTTAGGTACACATCATTTAACACGGTGGACATTTCATAAAAGTCTTACTAACAAGAAAATAACTGAGTTATATACACAGAACAATAGTTTCCTTAACACAATTGTTGTAGGTTTTAATGATCACTGTCTCCTAAACATTATGGTTACTTATCCTCCCTCAACTTGGTTTTGATGTGTAGTCCATTAAAAATACAATTTTCATTTTCATTTTTCCTCTCACTTCTCTAGACTTTTACAATACTCTTCATACTCTTGTTTTTCATTCTCATTTAGATTTTTTCTCTGGGCCTTTGATTCTCCTAGGTACTTTCTCAACATTAATCTCTACTGTCACTGCTAAGTGCCATCAGGGTTTCGTCCAAGGGTTGTTCTATCAAGAACTATCCTTCCATAATAAAAGTAATCATGGAGAAATAAGAGCTGTTCTAGGAAAAAGCATTTTCCTTTGCTGTAAGTCTTATTTTTAAGCAGCACTCTCTAAAGGCCACTCTGCTCTCCTTCATTATTGCATCCACATGCCCACCAAACCAACGAGGCCATAGGTTTGCTCACCTGAAGGTGAATCCTCTCTAAGAACTCTTGCACAGTCTCAGGTTTTCCCATCTGACTCCTTCGGTGGGCCTTTATCTTCTTGGGGGCTGCTTCTTCTTCTGAGATGACGTCCACATAAATAAATTTGAAGTTTCCCACCTTGTTGTTCAACATTCCTGTCCACATTCCCATTGGTGTTTTGCAGATAATGTCTATGATATCTCCTTTCTAAGGGCAGAGACAGGTAGACAAGTCAGATTTCAGAGACCAGCAAGGCCATGAACATTGACAGAAACAATGAAATGATACAAAACTAGAATAATGAGTACATTATGCTATGAAGTTCAGAGACAATAGAAATAAATCTAAAATCTGCTTCTTTCAAACGTTGAAGGAAGTTAGCTATTAGTAATAATGAATAAATCTTAAGCATGTCTGACACAAAGCTCCTACATACTTTTGCTGACATTTTTATGCTTTTGTTATCATATCAACTTCTATTTGTAGAGCACAGTCTAATTTATAAAACACTTTTTCACACACTAAATAATTTTATAACATACCTCTCAGGCACATATAGGATTCATAATTACTTAAGTATTACAGAAAAAAAAGCAAAGATACTAAATGGCTTCTCAAGTTTACAGGAAGTTAATGCCAGAATCAGAACTCAAGTTCAAGTTGTATGAATTAAAAAATGATGCTCTTTTCATTTATATGGTCAAAGTGATATATATATATCTCAAAGCTCAAGCCATCATTCCAGAAGGAGCTCCCCAACTGGCCCTACCTGTGCTTCTAGTTCATCTGAAAAACTTATCTACAGTGTAAAATAAACCTATGTAAAATATTTCATCCATCTAAAATAATTAAATTGTGTAAAACTCACACAAAAGTATGTGTGCACTAAGTATAAATTATGCTGCATAGTTATTACACATATTATAGTACTAATTCTTCTCCTTTTAAGAAGAAATAGTATTTAAATTGAGTTTCACAACAAAATTTGGACTGAAGTGTGAATGAAGCAGTTTGGAATAGATAAACCAATTGGTCCTTTTCTTTATTTATGTCAAAGACCATAACTGGCTACAGGCCAGTTATTGGGAAGAGTAGAAAAACCCGCAAGAGGCTTTACAAAGAAAGTTGATTTCTATTCAAATACACTGTTTACATTTAAGAGTCATAGATACCCCTTTGAGAGTTAGAATTTTCTTCCCTGGAAGGACCTTGCAGAGTCCAACATTTTTGCCACTTTTAAGGGTTGACCTTCAAACAAGCATTAAATCTGCTACTAAAAATATTTTTTCTTTTGACTCTGTAAATCTATGTTCTCCCCTCTAAACATAAATTTAATCTGTAATAGAGAATGCAGGATGATTGAACGATCTGGTTTTTCTGACTATCTGCCCATGTGGGCCTGCGAGCTGTCACGTCAGGGTGGGGGACCTGCAACTTTGGAGCCACACAGGCCTCTGGATTCCTGAGTGTGGCCTTTTGACTAAGTCTAAATATTATAGAACAAATCCTTTTAGTAAAGGGATTTGTTCTGTGAGGTTTGGTTCAGTCAAGGGGCTGCCTTCTGGGATCTGGAAGACCACACCTGGCTTTGAGGCCACAGGTTCCCCTCTCCTGCCAGGGGGAACCCACTCAGGCTAAGCAGACTGGGAAACTCTCCAGAAGCTCTAGAAAGTTTCTAGGTGTGAGAGTCCTTTATTGTGTTTTTCCTACTATCCTTTAGACTCATAAACTTGTAACTTATATCCTTTAAATTTGTAAATCTGCACATTCCAGGAGAGTCCCCAGGTTATCAAGCAAAGACTCAGTTTCCTTTTGCATAAGACCCTTCACAGGAACAAGAGTATTTCAGTCTTCATTGGTAAGTGAGGGATTCTTATTGTGGTCTATAAGAACTGGCAGGGCACACTTCCCATCACAGGGATGTTGAAAGCTCACCTGAGTCAAAACATGTTGTGTTTATTCCCTTCTACTGCCCTCCCCCAAAATACTTATTAGGATACAGTCATCCTTTCCATTAGACTTGAACTTAGGCTTCAAACCATTTCATACAAATGACTAAGGAAGCTAAGTGCAGAGAACAAGGCTTTTCTCATCTCCAGCTGAGCATACTCTGATCTGGTAACACAGAAGGGATAAAGGGAAGAGCTGAGTGCCTTAAATGTTAAATAATAGTATCAACACTTCATAAGATATCATAGTTACTAGTTAACATTCGCTTGGTGTTAACAGCATATGAAATTCATAACTTATGTCCTTTTAGCTTTTGCAATTTGTGATACTATAAGGAGTAATTTAACATCTATAAAATATTTTAGCATGACACCTTCTTCTACTGTGCTACTATAACTGACCCCGCCCCTTGAGTGGGAGAAAGACTATGAAAATGGCGGATTTCATATCATGATAAGGTTATCATATATGATTTTGCATACATAATTTATAATTAATGTACCAAAGTAGTTGATTTTAAGTTACTCAAAGGGGAAATGATATGCGTGGGCCTGACTTCATTGCATGGGATCCCTTAACAAAGAATGATATTAAGCGAGTTTTATTTTTATATATTTATTATATATAATAAATATTTATATATTATTTTTATTTATATATTAAGCGATATATGAGTGAGTTTTTCCCCTGCTGGCCTTGAAGCAACAAACTACCATGTTGTATAGAGGGCCCTGGCTAGGGAATCGGGGGCTGAGCATGGTGTGCAGTTGAAATTCAGTAAGAAAGCAGGGGCCTCAGTCCTACATTCATAAGGAACTGAATCTTGCCAACAGGCAGTGAGCTCAGAAGGACCTTAGACCTCAGGTGAGGTCATAGCCAGGCTGACACCTGAATTTCAGCCAGGGAAGACCTTAACCAGAGAACTCGGTGGAGCCATGTGACCTCAGGAAACTGTAAGATGACAATACATTTGTGTTGTTTGATGCCTCTCAGTTGGGGGTAATTTGTCACTCAGCAATAGCAAGTGAATATAGATAATAAGAGCAAGAAGAAAGAATTCAGGAAAAATATCACTGGAAGATGGGTCTTTGGTTATGGCAACCACCATAAAAAGTACTGAAATTGCCTGACAAAGTCTGCTGCCCTCTTCTCTGGCATTTCCATCTTCTCCCCATCACCTTGGTTTCATTATTTTTACCCCCATGAGTATCAGGCAGAGCTGGGCACCTCCAGCAACCTGTGAGACTTTGAGTTTTCAGAAAAACCTAGATAACCCTTTCCCTCCTGGTAGACTGAGCCTGTATTATCTACTTAACAGCAATGTGTTAGACTGATCCCTCTTCTACCTCATGTGTTTTATTCAAGTTCTTGGCACAGTAAACTTGTCCCCAGTTCTACTGTTGGGGAACACATTCACACCCCTACTTCCTACTGCTTGTACTTCCTGAAACAAACCACACAACCAGTATTTGACAAACCGTTCAGAAGGTGGATCTGATGTCCTCTCACCTTGATTTTGAGAGAGTCAGTGTCATAAGGACTTGGCGTGAAATCAGTATGCACTCTGGCACGGCCACAGAACGGTCCTGAGTAGGGGCCATCATCGTCCAGTCGAAAGCTGTCCCTGTTGCTTGTTCCATCTGAGCAGCTTGTTATTCCACCTGAGAGAAGCAGAGGTTAACCGCTCATTGAAGGCATCTTTACGATCCTGAATCAGTGTCTGGACATAGTTAAATGCAGTAGAACCTCTGTAAGTTGATCACTCAAGGGACTGTAAAAGTGTTCAACACAGGAAGGTGGTCCATATAAGGAATCAGGCCTACTGTACTGACATGTATGTGTGGTGCAACTCCAGTCCATGAAAATTAGGCCAACTTCAGGAGGTGGTCCATGTAGGAAGGTGGTCAGCTCTGGAGATTCTGCTGTATTGATAATGGTAAAGCAGTGGATGAACTGATGGGCCTCACAAGGGGGTCTTACTGACTGATCCCAGTGTCTGTCTCCTAGGCACTCTCTATTGGTGACCTCTGTCTTCTGAGCCATTTCTGAACTTTTTTTCTGCCAATCTAGCCAATCTCTCCTCAACCACTAACCAAAACCCCTCTCCCCTCTCATCCAGCATACAAGAGAGTCTTACTGACTGATCCCAGTGTCTGTCTCCTAGGCACTCTCTATTGGTGACCTCTGTCTTCTGAGACATTTCTGACCTTTTTTCTGCCAGTCTAGCCAATCTCTGCTCAACCACTAACCAAAACCCCTCCCATCCAGCATACAGTGTACTAAGCATTGGACACTTGCCAAAGAGGAGGAAGGTATAGGTTTAACAAGCAGAGCCAGATAATTAATTTCTTACATGTAAGCAAAGACAGAAACTGATGAGAATAGTTGGATCTTTGTGTGCTATTGATCACAAATCACCAGAAAGTGACATTACAAAGTTCCCTACAACTTATCACAATTGTAGCAGATATTCTCTCCCAGGGTTCCTCTTGGGGACCAAAGGCCATTTGGAAGCAATATTACTGTGTATAAAAGCTGTGTTTTTATTTTTTGTGTGAGTATAAGAGAGGGAGGAAGTGTATCTGAAAGTCTACTCCCAAGTGGTTGAAAACTGTTCTAAACCAGACTTTTAATGTTACTCCAAATTCTTATTTTCTGGTCCTCTTTCTTTCTGATCTTGAACCTCAGGAAAAAAAAAAAGAGAGAGAGAGAGAAAAGAGATGCCATTTTGCTGTCTGCCTGGGGCGAGAATTGTTCCCAGTGGAAGGAACTCTCCTTTCTAAACATTATCCCCCTGTTACCACGTCCTGCCCCCTTCATTCTGGCCTTTTGGTATTCTGTTCAATGAGGGAACAACCAGGTTTCATTGCCATCTACTGTGAAATAAGGTGAAAAATTCTGGAAGATATTCCACATTGTATATGAACTGGTGTAAAAGAAAAGTTAGTTGCAGCTAAGAACAGAAATATAATTATACATATTATCAGTTAAATGGGTCCACTACTGCCACACACCTTCTTCTCCATGGCTATTCCCAGCCCAGGCTTCTCATAGTACTTTTTTTGAGACAGGTCTTTAGTCCCTGCCCTCTCAAACACCTGGGCTCAAGCGATCCTCCTGCCTTGGCCTTCTGAGTATGTGGGACTACAAGCTCATACCATCACATCTGATTAATTTTTCTATTTTTTGTTGAGAGGATCTCTTGCTCTTGCTCAGGCTCATCTAGATCTTCTGGCTTCAAGTAATCCTCCTCTCTCAGCCTCCCAGAGTGTTAGGATTACAGTCATGGGCCACTGGACTTGACTGGTACATTCTAGTGAATAAAATTCTCCCTATACCCAGCATCATGATTTAGAATTTTAAACTACCAAAAGAAATAAATACCAGTGAAATCTGAATTTCACACACACAAAAATACATCCTTCAAATGTTTCCACATTTGATTTTGCCATAAAGTAACTGTTTGACAGCCAGTATGAAAAGAGGATTAAAATAAGAATAAAATAAAATATTTGAAACACTTGGTCTTTGTGATTCATCTTTAAATAACAGAAAGAGTTGATTTAAAAATAAATAGAAAATAAACTTTGCAGAAACATTTAAAAGCCCTGAAAAGATTAAAGGGATGTATAACAGCCTATGTATAAAAAGTCACAAACCATCGATAATGCATATAACAGTTATCAATAATTTCATCCAAGTATTGTAGCAGGAAATGGGCCCAAATCTTGAATAACTTTTGGCTTAGAAAAATATCAGTGTTCATTAGAAAATTCTTTTTGGTCACTTGCTGATTCTTTTTAACCACCTAACTGTTGACATTTCCACCATTTATTATTTATAATATAGCTTACTCTTTATTCAACACTGATGGGTCAGGACTCAAAAAGTATTGGCAGAGTTCATGCAAATTTCTGCGCTTTGGGGAGCACTTCAGGAAGAAAGGAAAGTAAGGGAAAAGGTGGGGGGCGGAGAAAGAGACAGGTAGAGAGAAGGGAGAGAGGGAAGGAAGAAGAGAGAGACAGAGAACAGAATTTCATTTATCTGAATACTTGAAGTCATTTGAAAAATTTTGACTCAAGATAAAACTAGTTCTCCCCAGCATAGATGTTTTTAGGGATGTATATTTAATTACCCAATATGATGTTTTTGAGGCATATCCCCAAGAGCTCTGCTGCCTGCAGTATTAAAATAACACATAATGCTGTCTGATACATTATGTATCATTAAAAACACAGCAACTCCATATAGATTCAATACATACTACCATTTTTCTTATCAAGTAGCTGGAACCTTGTTGCTAATGTGATAAAACGTGTTTTTAATTATAATAATTTAACTCAGACCCCACACCTGGGACCTTTATTAGCCTTACTTGAAGAGCTCTGCCCACTGTAGAGACTATCCATGGAGTCACTGGCTTTGAGCGAGACCTTCTCAGTGTGGGACCCAATCATAGGGTCACTGTTTCGATACGGAAGGACACTTTCTCCATCTTCCTCATCCTTCAGAAAAAACACAGGTTAAATTCAGAGAGCAGATTTCCATGGAGATGTTCACGGTGTGCATTGATTTAATAAACAAGACATATTTTAGCAATAAAATACTTAGGAATACATCACCATAAAATATGAGAGTCATTAATCTTGAGTTCAATTTCTAGCAAAACATTTTATAGTACTCTTGGAAAATTCTTTAAATGGGACATTCTCATTGTGGAATCCAACTGAAATCATAATGGTTCATTTTTTTTTTTTGCAAATTAGGATGAATAGCATACCAAGATTATTTAATCAGAAATGTTAGATTTATTGACAACTGTGCTTTATCTGTTAAAGCACTTCTACTGCATGTTCTCCTTATTATCTATTTGCTACAGTTTCTAATCCACTGAGGTCTGATACTACAAGTTTAAACTCCGCATAGTTGTTTCCTGTCAGTTATTTGCACCTTACCAGATCACAAGATATGAATAAAACATGCACACTTTGCAATTCTAAAGCAAAGCTTATCTAAGAAGCTTTACAAATCTCCTACCGTGCTTGCCACCTAGTCAAGTGAAAAGTAAATCTTGCATAAAATTAGAAAAGACAGACAATTTAAAAACAAATTGTATTTCCTTGAAAACGTCTCCAGTGTTTTCCATATTTTGATAGTTTCAACAACACCTGTGAATTTCTTAATATTTATCAGGGCATGACTTAATATTCCTTATTTTTGAGTATTTCTAAACGTTGATGGAATTTCAGTATACATATGATGTATACTCAGTGTTACTCTCTGCTTTTGTCTATCCCCTTATTCATTCCTTTGGTTGCTCAATATAAGTTTATAGAGTACCTTTTAGGTACCAGGTACTGCTCTGGGAATTGGGGATTACCAGAGTAAACACAGTAACAGGCTCCTAATTCTACGGAAGAACATTGTAGTGTGTTGGTCTACGTAAGTGTGTATATGTGTATATAAGTGAGACAATTTCCAAGAATAATAAATACTAGGAAGGAAATGAAACTGGTGATGTGAGAGAATTAGCTACTGAGGTTAGGGTTAGGGCAAGGTTGGTTGATTTAGATAAAGTAGGGTCCAAAGACCTCTGCCATAAGGCAATAAATGCTTTCCATTATTGACCTGAATGGTAAGAAACTCATACTTATGTGAAGCTTTGGAGATAGCTTTTCAAGCATAATGAAGAGCAAGAGTGAAATAACTAAACTCGAAATTAGCTTGGATTGCGCAGAGAAAAACAAAAATACCAGTGTAGTGAGAAAAAGAATATTAGCACATGACTTTAGAGAAGTGGAGTGGAGCAAGATCACAAAGAGCCGTATAGATCATGCCTGGTGGCTGTGGGAATGTGTCACCTAGATCTGTTGCTATGAGACCCTTATCTACTGATAGTTGCTACACTGCCTCTCCAGATGGTCCACTCCATTTGCACTGAAGTCATGCTTCCTGCCAGGGGCTGAACAGCTATTCTGGTGGGATGTGGGGCTCCATTGGTGGAAAACTTTGGTAAAGGGATTCTTTATCCATCTGGCCAAGGCTTTCTCAGAGTTGTACTGAAGTCTGAGACTCTGTCTATCCCATCTCTTTTTCCCTCTCCTTTTACAGATGGTAGACCTGCCATCGAAAGGCTTTTTCTAGCTATTTTTTCTTTTTCTTCTTCATCCTTAACAGGCATTTCTTCCAATACATGTTGTGTGTTTATATTCCCTTCTGGAAATCTGCTTTTCAGAGGACTGGAATGATCGTGCCCCAGTAAGGGAGCACCTTGTAAAGGCACAGTGAAATTTTAACCTGGGTGATGTGTCTTGATTTCCACTTTTCAGAGCTCTTTCTCGATTTCATGGGGAAAAGAGTAAAATAATGAAAAGCAATTAGGTGCTTATTATGGTAATCCAGGCAAGAGAGTTTAGTTCCTCAGGCTAAGGCAGGAACTGTTTGCATGGAGAAATTCGGAGGGGCGGGGTTAGATATACTTTGGAGTTAGAACCAAAGGGATATCCTCATAAATTGGTGTGAAAAATGAGAGAAAGAAGGACTTTATTGTGATCCTTAGGTTTTCTTTTCCTCTTCCTCTCTTCTCTCCTCCGTCCCTCTCTTCTTTTTAGCATGTAGAGTTATGATGGTGTTGCCTGTTGCTACTGAGATTACTGGATGAGCAACCATTTTCCTTCTTTTTCTTTTTTAAGAAGGGCAAAGAATCAATATTTAAGCTTTGGATATATCATATTTCAGATATCCAGTGGACATCTAAATGATGATAATGATAACAAGCAATGGGTGGTATAAGTAGAATCAATAAGTGAAGAGGTCATAGCTAGATATATAATTGTAAAAAACAAAGTCAGGAGACTCAAGGAAATCATTTGGGAAGAGAAGGTAGACGGAGCAGAGCATCCAGGAACAAGCCTCAGGAAGACAAGAAAGAAAGCACAGCAGAGCCAAGGAAGGGAGCTACAGGAAGAAGAAAAACCAGAGGAATGCCCAGCCAAAGAGACCAAGAAAAGAGAATGTCATACAGGTGAGGAATTCATGACTTGGGGCAAATACAGCTGAAAAGCAGTAAGAAGAAGAAATGTGACCATTGAATTTGACAGTGCAGAAGTCACTACTAATGGTGACAACTATTTTAATAGAGTACTAGGAACAGAATCTCTGTTGAAGTACATTAAAAAAGGGAATGGGCATAAAACATATAAATCAATAGAATTGAGAGGTCCGTAAAAATAACATATTTTTGATGCACGTATTTATGACCCATAGTTTAGGGTCAATTGATTTTCAACAAATGTGCCAAGAAAACACAATAGCTAAAGAATAGTCTTTTAAACAAATGAGGTTGGGAGCACTGCGTTTCCACATGCAAAAGAGTTAAGTCTTGAACTCCTTCCACATACTTTGTACTTCTGGGCATCAGGAGTGAGGTAGAAAAAAGATGCACCAAGTACTTCCGCATCTAGAGGAACTTATGGAATACTTTAAGAAAGCCTTAATTAAAAAATACAAATGATTAACACGGCACACTTACCTTTTCCTCAGAAAGGGCTTTGATGTACTTTTTACCCACTTTCTTCTTCATTGTCCACGAAATAGCTCTCATTTTTTTACCCAAACCTCCTCCATTATTGGAAGTTTTGTTTTGTTCTCCACTTTCATTTATGGGTTCCCCTTCATGTTTCTAGTTTTGAATCATTTACAAAAGACAAAATAATAAAGAAATGAAAGGCATGGATCTGAAAACATTGTTAGAAAGAAGATTCCAAGTTTGTAGACTTCCTGTACATTTGGTGCAGCACCCTCCAAAATTTCAAACAACCTTGACTTAACACATACCTTTAAAATTGTGTCGGCCTGGTGGTTCATGTGTCACAAAAACTCAGCAAGTAAAACTGGTGATGTGGAAGGCAAAGAGCCTCACATCTGAATTTCTTGTAGAGAATTTTGGCTATTTTTTTTTATAGTTTTCATTTTCTTCCTTCTTGTTCTTGAGATGAAGAAATAGAATTAAATACCAAGCACAGGAGGGATTCTGTCTACACGGATGGCAGATATTTTGATGGAGACTTTAAAGAAGATAGAGCATCTCTCTGTGCTGCCTGGGCCTTACAATAACCTCTTACTTTTCATAAAAATTGAGATGGTTATGGTTATTTGTAAAGATTTAGGGCATTAATTAAATCCCCTGAGAAACTGCATTGTTTCATCTTAGCATGTGCATGTCCCACATTCTCAAACAATAGCAAACATGAACTGTTTGCCCACATTAGTACAGAGATGTGGAGGTAATTCACATGCTTCACTAAGCAAATCTCTTACTTGGACCTCTTCTGGCTGTAGTTACGAATTGTGTGAAACCAGTGCCTTCCTAACTCAAGAATGAAACACAACCTGGCCATAACTCACAATACTCTATAAGATAAAATAATATGAAAACTTAATATAATATATATTGCTATGTGATACTTGTTGCATTATATGGAATCGATATGAAATAAAATATCTTCACTGTCTTGCTGTGAGCTACTTCTGAGCTCCCCCCCTGTTCACTAGAGCAGTGGTTCTCAAAAGGCAGTCCCTGAACCAGAAACATCAGCATGGCTTGGGGACAACTTGTGTTTCAACGAGCTCTTTGAGTAATTTTGATACACTCAGGTTTGAAAACAACTGTATATGTGTAATAAAGTGTTGCCATGCTAGCCTTCTGGCTATTCATCTACCAGGTTCTCACCAAGGTTCCTGCTTGCTTCTGCCATTGCTATCCCCTAGATACCCACACACTGCTGCCTTCATGCTTCCAGATTTCTTATTCATATGTTGGGTCAGAAGAGAGAACTCTTCTGATTTCTGCACCTCTCCGTACTTTCCATTTCTTTACTCTGATTTATTCTTCTAAGTACCTAACATTATTCAATAATGTATTTGTTTGCTCATTTGATTACTGTGTACATCTCCCACTCTGATGCATGCTCCATGAGGACACAGACTTTTATCTGTTTTCTTAATTCTGAGTGTCTAGAATACTTCCAAACACCTAAATGGCACTCAGTATTTTTCTTTTTTCTTTTCTTTTTTTTTTTTTTTTTGAGACAGAGCCTCAAGCTGTCCCCCTGGGTAGAGTGCCATGGCATCACAGCTCACAGCAACCTCTAACTCCTAAGCGAGTCTCCTGCCTCAGCCTCCCAAGTAGCTGGGACCACAGGCGACCACCACAATGCCTGGCTATTTTTTATTTTTGGTTGCAGCCGTCATTGTTGTTTGGCAGGCCCCAGCTGGATTTGAACCTGCCACCTTAGATGTATGTGGCTGGCGCCTTAGAATATTTTCCTAATAAATAAAACTTCCCATGTAGAACTCTGTAGCAATTGTTTTTTTGGAGGACATGTTTAGATTACACATCCTCCGATTTGCAAGAAAGAAACCTTGAAAATCACCCAGTTTAGCATTGCCCATTATTCCTGATAGGTGGACAGTCAGTCACTCCTTGAATATAAAAAATGATGGGAAACTTCTCTTTAGTGAAGTTGAATATTTTAACAGGGAAGTTTAACCACATAGTTAACATCATTATTAATCAATATTATGTTTTGCTTCATATCTTACCCCAAATTGCCTATGATAAATAAGAATGGACAGCCAATTTAAGCCCTCATTGCACTTTATTAATTTCTACATTCAAGGTTATAAAGGCAAAGATTCTTTGCTTAATTCTGAAGTCCTAAGTAAAATAAAATTTGGGAGCGCCTTAAAATTTCAGACTTAGCCTTTTTCTTCTCTTTTCTCTATGAAAACTTTCTCTCTCTTCATTGTAAAATTATTTTACTAAGTAAAATATGTAAGAAAGTATTTTATTTTACTATTACTGGTGTAAATTTACCACTCTCTAAGCATTAGAAAAAATACCACAAAGATTTTTCAGGCTTTTCTATCATTATTTACAGAAGCTTCAAAGACAATTATCTCTGTCATCTCTTAAATTTTAACACTGTTCTATTTGGTTCTCCATACCTGGAGTTAAACTTTTATTTAGATAGTATTTATGGTTTTATTGTTGCTTCTTTTTAACATATTTCTCTTTTTCTATACCGCAGGCCTTGTGGAGGCAGGATTTTCATCTGTTACTGTAAGAATACTACCTGAGTGCCTAATGAAAATACTGTCACTGAGTAGGTATTTGTTGAATGACTGTTGGATTTTTGAAAAGTAGGAAAACTACTTTATCACTTTTTGCTTAATTCTTTCACAAATTACAAGGACATCATTATTAATCAATGAACCGGAGTGAGTCTGAGCTATCTATTATAGGTTACCTAGAGAATTCTAAACTACATAACAGCAGACTGCAGCTATGAATGATTGAAGAGAGTTAAAGGTCTATACAAGATACCACTGAAAGTAAAATTACATGTCTCTCACTTTCTCTCTTGCTCTCTCTTTCTCTCATATACATATATGTATTTGTAAAAAAAAAAAAATACATATATATATAGGGTACCTATAAAGTTTGGGTGCAATTTCAAATTGCACACAATTTTAAAAGGTATACAAACTTTATGACCACCCCATGTAAGTATATGTGTTTGTGTGAATATATATCTATATATAAAAAACAATATATATATAGTTAAAATTCAATATATTGTATTACTTATAATTATATTAACATAAATGTTGATTGACCATATAGCTATATACAAGTTTATCTATATCATGAATATATTTAAATATGTAGATAGATAAAAGGGCTATATCATATATAAATGAACAGGAGGGAATATATTATACATGCACACATACACATACATATACCAATGGAGATATTTATAAAGTCATAATATATGTCATTTTATTTCCATTGCTTTTGTTCAGAATCCATACTGGAAATAAAAATATTTTAAAATATTCTAAATAGATTCATCTGAAGATAACTAAAGATATAAAACTTACTGACCTTCAAGGAATCTATCACCTGCAAAGTCAGTGAATCAGGGTCCCTGGTAAGCGTGTATGTCCTATTTTCTCAGTCTATGCCACGTTACCTTACTATCCTATGCATTGCTATATCTCATTAATTATTCATCACTTGTGGCCTAGGGTCTATGACGTTGTATGGCAAATTTTGGAGTCAGAGAAGAGGTTGAATTCTGCCTTTGTCATTTATTAACCACAATTTAGAAGTAATTTTACTCAATGAAGCAGGTCTATATCTTCGTTGGTAAAATAGAATCGGTAATAGTTCCTATGTTATATAATAGGTAGAGTGTTTACAATCGTGCTTATTTCAAGGGAGGTACTCAATTAAATGTAGATATTATTTATCCTATTATGTAAATTGATTTTATGAGCAGCTTTTCTTACGCTACATTTGAAGTATTCATAGTTTACAGATGTGTCTGTAATGGTCACCAGTGGGACATTCAGTGTGTGTGGTAGAAGTGGGAGGGTACAACCAAGCAACCATATGCTCTCCTTAACAAATTCACGCGAAGCGGCTCCATCATTTCCTAATTTAAAACAATTGCAACTTGCAAAACCTTTTATGCGAGTTTTATGGTGGAAATGCTTTGGAAATTTGGAATTGCTGGTGTTACTTTGAATTCTAACCATCACCTTAGAGCCATGTTTTGTCTCCAAACATCTGTTAGGCTTCTTACATAGCTGTTTACTCTTGATGCCCCACATGGTACTAAGTACTAAATAATTGTTTGTTCATTGAACACAAAAATATATGCAAAGCTATGATCTGAAAATGTCTTTTTTACTATAATTAGAAGTGAGATTGTATCATAATATTTCATAATGCGCTTGTACAACATTCGTAAAAATGGAATAAAATACTAACCTCAGTTAAATCATCTGGTTTTGATATGGAATTATTCCGAAAACGATCAAAATTCCCAAAACTGCTGCTGCGCTATAAAATAGGAAAGAAAAGGAAATAATATTTAGGGTTTGTGACTTGCAGTGCTAAAACTAATAAATAGATTACAGTTTAGTTAGCATCATCTCTTAGAAGTTCAGGCTTTAAAAGCTCTTCCCTCTTAAGTATCCAAACGCTTTGAAGGCATTACTATTAACATTTTTATATTTACAGTTGATAAAATGCCTTTCTATGCTTTACATTACAGTGTTAAGCACCATGAGGAAAATCTTGACTCAATTATTTTTAATTTATAGTATTAATTTTACCCTAAGGAGTGGCAGTTGAAAAATCTATGAGTTCTAAACTGAGGCTTCTTGAAATAGCTAACTACTGACTTATTTCTACCAGGTAATGGCAAGCAATACTAACCAACTAACCAAGAAATGAATAACAACAACAAAACGTACAAACAAAAAGCAGGCATCTGAGTGGATTTATCATTACGCCTCATAAAGATCAAGTTTAAAACAAAAATGAAAAGTGCATTTCTTATTGCTAACTCTTGATGATCTGAAATTCTCTTCTGGATATCATAAATAAAAGGCATGCCCGTAGACCTATTAATATATTGAGAGCAGCATTTAGGCATGCACAGTCTAAGGTTGGGAATAAAACTGAATTTCTACAAATTTAAAATGGAATTACAATGAGACCTCTGGGTCAGTTTCATTCAATGGTTTTCAGAACAAGCTCAATATGTTAATAGCACACTGTTCCCTTGGATACTTTTTGCTTACAAAGCTAAATTTCTACTAGGCGACTCTTTCTAGGTAGGTAATTATAAATAATATGCTACCAAGTAGACACATTTTAAAATTCTTTAGTCATTGAGTCAAAAAATTAATATTTCCTCACTACCTATGTAATTTTATGCCTTGTTTGGGATGGTGAATATCTAATGTTATGCTTTTTGTATACCCATAAATCTCAAGAATATGTCCTTTCGTAAGGAGTTTATCTCATTTCTTGGTTATCATATTTTAAAAATAAATACTGAAAAATAACCTATTAATGTGAAACATTAGTAATGGAAGTCAGTAATCTATTAAACCCGCTATAGCAAGACCTCACTTAATGTCATGGATACGTTCTGAGAAATACGACTTTAAAGGAAACGACTGTACCTAAACCCATTTTACTGTAGGCTAATTGATATAAACAAGAATTACGTTCCTATGGCGTGTTTCTAGACATAAAATCATCACTGAACTTCTAAATAAAGACCCGAACACTTCTAATATTAAACACTGAAATAAATGTGAGCTATTCATACATTTAAGAAAAATTCATAAAAACAGGTAAGGCGATTATTTACCCAATTATTCTCCCTACCCTCGCAGCTCAGGGGCAGGGTGGGACCCAGCTCTGGACACACCTGCCCATCTCAGGATGCGCATGCGCACACACTCACACACTGGGCCCGCGACACATTGATTCACCTGACAGCCACTTCCTCAGGAGGTGGAAGGAAACCCACACAGACATGGGGAGAACATGCCAACTCCACACAGTGGCTCTGGCCAGAAATTGATTTCTTTTTCTCATTGATGTCATAAGGTAATGGCATGGAAGGAGACGACGTTATTGGAGGACTTGCTAAATTGTCCTTTCAGAAGTCACAGCTCATTTTTTTTTTTTAAAGTCAGCTGGAAAGGCTCCTCGCCCCTAGAAGCACTTTTATACTTATGTTTTCCCACCAACTATCTTTAAAAACCCTTGTTTCCCTTTTAAATGAGCTGATATAAAAAGATCCTGACGTGTGACAGGGGTTAGCTTGACAGACAGTGTGATAGAGGACACCGCCCGAGGATGCTGCTGTGTTAGACACAATTAACGCCTCTTGCTGACTTGCCACCCTCGCTGAACAAGCCCTCCAGGTTATGGCGAGAGAGGAGAGGAAGAGAAGGGCTGAAGTTGAGAATCACAGGGGAAAATACTAAGTTTTCCTCCTGCAGTACTTACTAAACTAGAGTGACTTCCCAGAGCATTAATCCCCCTAACCCACCTAGTAGGCCTTTCCATCTGACAGTCATTGCTCAGCAATCACAAAGGGGAATTGAAGGGTTTGTTGTCCTGCTTATATACAATCTGAACACAGGGAAATCTATTACTCTTTTATATACTTAAAACATTCTATGAACTATGGAAACCCATGCCAAGGGCAATTTTGTAGCCTACATCAGCCTGCCTCCTGCCTGTTAAATATTAATGAGTGTTACGTGTGATTTCCACTACTGGATAATGGGTCCTGTTACACAGGAGGGCACAGAATAGACTCACTTCAGCATTTCTCTACACTATCTTCTTCCATTAAGTAATCAATAGTCACCACCTTTTAAAATTAATTCCTCCCCCCCTTATATCAATAAAAAAAGCAGTCTTAGGAATAGTGGTTTGTGAAGGATGCAGGACTATTACTTTGGGTTTCGTCAGTCATCTCATTGATAATCACTCAACGGCTTTAAGCCAGAGGAGCGTGTCAATCCATGTTAAGATGCCCTGAAGGAGCAAATCTAAGGATTTAAAAGAATATTTAAAAAATTTCACTATTCTTGATGGTAAAAGTTAGTGATTTTCTGAGAAGGTTTCATAATGTATAGGTTATAGCTTTTAATGAGAAGGAATTAATATCTACTGTGAGGTGTGGAAAATGAACAAATTTATAACTTCTACTCATGTCAAGTTTTCTAATGATAAGGTGAATCATATGGAAGCAGAGCATGCTTCCTAGATAATAGATAATAGTCCTTAATAAATGAGAAAGTGTTGGAATATTGATAACTTTGTATCATAGAACTGTAGTGAATTAGATTTAGCAAATATTATCTTCTGACAAAAGCTCCCATGAGGACAGAGCTATTATGTAAACAAATAGCAATCAACAAGAAGGGTAACTTAAACAAAAATGTCATTCATATTTTATATAATTGTTTGTTTCTGTTGACATTAGATCATATGTGCCTTTAATCATGCTTTATATAAATACAGTCTTTCCTGATGCAATGCACTTATAAAATGACACAACAATTATGCTATATAAAACAATTATAAATCATGCTTCATATAAATACTTACAGTCTTTCCTGAGAAAAGCACTTATAAAATGACACCACAATAATGGGAGGAAATTTTATAACATTTAGCAAAACTACATATATGTTTACCCGTCTTAGAAATTACATTTCTAGGTGGCTAAGCTAGTGATGTCCTCGGATATGAGTTGATTAAACATCCAAACTCATTGTAGCACTTTTATCAAAAAGCTATAAAGCCTAATGTGCATTTAGAGGATAATGATTGAATTAACATATGATAAATCCACACAGATATACAAAAATGAAATATATCATTTTATAATGCAATGGGATTTTCTATAGGATAAAATAACTCTTTTAAAAGGCAAAGTAGAAAAAAGTGTGATATACTGAAATACATCTAATGTCAAAATTCATAACTTTATAAGAATATCAAAGAGAAAAATTTGATGATACCTTGGGATATGTTATACAGATAGTATTATCATGAAAACTAGCAAATAAAGGGAAAATTTAAACATTCAGTCTGCCTTTCCTGCATGAAATATATTTCAGAATAACTAAAAATTCTATGAGAGAATATTACTCTATTTGTGTGTATTCAAGCCAATCAATTAAAAATGATGAAATTATAAAATTACCATTTACAACCCCCTAATGCTATGTTGGATCTAGGTAATGATCATCAATGACCACTAAACTCATAAGAAGACAACCAGAATATGAAGAAGCACCTAATGTCACTAATGATATGTTCTTGAAAACAAGAAGAGAGAAAGGAATGAGGAGAGCAATTACATCAAGCTCTGTGTCTACCAGATGTCAGGAACTATGGAGACAGAAGAGCATGCTAAAAGATGCCAAGAGGATGAGGCAATCAGAAAAACTCCAGACAACCAGAAACTACAGGACAACAACAACAAAACAGTGGCTTCAACTAATCAATAGAAAGAAACAAAAGTAAAGGGGTGAAGAACGAAGGACATTTGAAAGTTATATGAATAGGGTGACCAGATTTTAACATCGGCAAGGCGGGACAACATGAGGGGGCAGGGGACGGGGCAGGGCAGGGCCTGACAACAATGCAAACTTGGATAAGCAGTTCTTGATAATCACTCCTCAGCAATTATTTGTTATTATTACAGTTTAACATTATAAAATTAACAAAAATAATATAAAACTCATATTCTGGTGAAATAGCCACATGGCAGCTGAAAACCATGTAGTCCCTTCTTGTTCTCCCGCCTGTTCGTACATTCTTTCCAAAAATTGGGACTTTTTTAAAATGCCGCAGGACACAGGATGTCTGGTCACCCTATATATGAACCAAACACAGCTGTGAATTTTGTTTTGATAGAGATCAAATAAACCGCTGAATTAAAAACACTCAAGAAACTGAGAAAATTTGAAAATGACTAGCTATGTGATGTTATTAAGGAAGTATTGTTCTTTTTTCAAAAAAAATTGTCATTTGAAAAATGAACAAGTGTCAGGTGCGGATGTGTGTTCTTACACAAAGCAATGAAAGCTATGAAAAGTCAAGAGAATGCCTTTTTCACTAGTCAAACCTCTAGTTTTGATAATTCCTCTGTCTCCGTGTCTTCTTTCAAAGCAACTTGCTACCTGAGCAATAGGGGAAGTAGCGCAAAGTTTGCCTGACGGAGAGATGGAACTAAATGGGTTTCCTAGGAAAAGAACCAGCCTGCAATTACCAACGGGAAGATGAAGGGTGGGGTTTGACCAAAACCAGAAAAACCCTCATTTTCTTTCTTAACCAGCCACCAACTGGGGGTCTTCAAATAAAATCTCATGTCCAGCATGATTTAACATTTCAATAAGGCAGTGGTGGAAAAGTTTCAGTCTATTTCAAAGAAAAAAATTGTATAAGTGAATCAGACACTGACAATATTTTGAAACGTATTGGCAGATTAAAATTACCTACACTTTTGCTAGTAA